GAGTGCAGTTCCCCGATCATAGCTCACTGTACACTTGAACTCCTGGGCTTAAGCAGTCCTCCTGCCTCAGCCCCCCAAGTAACTGGGACTACAAGTGTGTACCACCTTGTCCAACTAATTTTTTTTTTTTTTTTAGAGACAGGGTCTCACTATGTTGCTCAGGCTGATATCAAACTCCTGGACTCAAGCAATCCTTCCACCTTGGCCTCCCAATGTGCTGGGATTATGGGCATGAGCCACTGGACTCAGCTCATATAAATTTAAAAATAATCCTGACCTTATCCATAAAAAAAATCTTACTGGAATAGTGAAAAGACTTGCATTAAACCTTTATATCAATTTAGGGAGAATTGACATCTTTATGATGTTGAGTCTTCTAGTCTATGAACATGTCTTTTAGTGTATTAAATATTCTTTGATTTCTTTTATCAGCATTTTATAGTTTTATACAAGTCCTATACATTTCTTATTAGATTTGTATCCAAGTATTTTTCTTTTTTAGCAATTATAAATGGTATTATGCTTTTAATTTTAGTTTCTATGTGCTCATTGCTAGTATATAGAAATAAAAATGATTTTGTGATATTTATCTTATATCCTGTGACCTTGCTAATTCACTTGTTAATTCTAGGAGGGTTTTTTATGGATTTCTTGGGATTTTCTATGAAGACCATCATGTCATCTGCAAATAGGGACAGTTTTATTTTTTCCTTTTTATCATAATGCCTTGTATTCCTTTTCTTGCCTTATTGTGCTGGCTAGGACTTCCAGTACTATTAAAACAGTGAATAAGATTAGTTAGTGCAGACATTCTTGTCTTGTTCCTGATCTTAGAGGAAAGCACTCAATCTTTCACCATTAAGTATAATGTTAGCTGTAGATTTTTTGTAGAAGTTGAGAAAGTTCCCCTCTATTTCTAGTTTTCTAAGAGTTTTAATCAGGGTTTTATTAGGGTTGATGAGAGATTTGAGTTTTGTCAAATGCTCTTCTGTGTCTTTTGATATGATCATGTGATATTTTTTCTTTAGCCTATTAATATGTTATATTCTATTGATTAATTTACAATTGTTAAACTAGCCTTGCATCCATGGAATAAACCCTACTTGGTCATGCTGTATAATTATTTTTATATATTGCTGAATTCTGTTTGCCAATATATTTTTAAGGATTTTTGTGTCTATATTTATAAGGGATATTGGTCTATATTTTTATTTTTATGTATTGTTACTGTTTTGCTTTGGTATCAGGGGAAAACTGGCCTCATAAAATAAGTTGTTAAGTGTTATTTCCTCTTCTATTTTCTGTAACAGATTATGGAGACTTTACTGTATCTATAATGTTTTGTGTTTTTTAAAGAAAATCTAAAGCAAGGGTAGCAAATTTACCAAGTAGATTTGTCTACCTTGTGAAAGTTTATTAAATCATTCTCCGTATTTTTCAGTATGCTTAAAATACTTCCTTATTTAAATATAAAAACATTTTAAGAACTTTAATAAATAAGTGAAACTCATTCTTAAGTTCATTATTGAGTTTGGAAGGTTTAAATAATAGCAAAACACAAAGTACTTTGAATAAAACACCCATCAGTTTTTATTAATATTAAAAATTTAAAAATTATTACTTGTTTCCCTGACATTTTTAGAACTTTGGTTCAATGTTTCCAGCTCCAAAAATCATAGACCTAGGGAGAATTCAATCTTTTAATTTTATAGAAATTAAAATTTGGGATTATGCTAAATATCTGCAAGTTCTTTGACATTTATTATGGGGAGGTGAGGTCTTTTTCTACTCCACTCAAATCTAAGATGATTCTAAACTTATTTTAGCCAACTGTATTACAGAAATGTTGCTGTAAAATTACTGAGGCTGAGCCTTACATGATGAATGGTTTCTGCCTATTGGAACACTACTGCTTGGATTCAAGCTGCCAAGTTGTGAGGAAGCCCAAGCAACCACACATGAGAAAGAGAACTGAGGTATCTGGGCAACAACCCCAGATAAACTCCCAGACAACAGCCAGCATCCAACTGCCAGCAATGTGAGTAAGGCCATTTTTAACATTCCAGACATTCTAGCATCCAACTAACTTCACATTATGCAGAACTCCCCAGTCAACTCATGGAATCATGAGAAATAACAAATTATTGTTTTAAGGTGCTAAGTGTTGACACAGTTTGTTATGGAGCAATACACAACCAAAGTAGAGACTCAGAGAAGTTAGTGGTTTACTTTATTCCCCCATAATCCTAAGTCTTTTGCAGTGGTTTACTTTTAATGATACCATCTAGTGAGTAAAAACTGAGTCTCTAGATCACTGGTCTCTAGATAATTAGTCTAGTATATTTTTCCTCCATATAATGCTCTGTTTTGTGAATTAATGAATCCAGACATTAGTGAAAAGCTGAACCTTCAGACAACATGCTGCCACTTCTCTCATAGAGGACAGTAAGGAAGCACACATTTCTGTTAGTACATGTGAGGAACTATGAAACGTAAAGCCAAATTGGGAAACCAACTGTCCACAGGTGGTTGTTTTTGTTTGTACCTCAGTGAGTCAGCTCCTGTTTTTTCCTAAGGAGAAGATGATTATTTGCAAAGTTAAGAAGCTTCTTTTACCAGAATAGTCATGTGTTATTAACTTCCTCTCCAGATGTCTTTTTTTTTTCCTACTAAATTTCTTTTTTTTTTTTTATTTCAGCATATTATGGGGGTACAGATGTTTAGGTCCAGATGTCTTTTAACAGAAACTTTTTTCACTTCCCAATAATAGTAAACTTCAAAGCTACGTAAGGCAGAAGCTGTGAATGACACAGGTATTTTCTGTCTACCACTATCAATCCTAGCTTTAGAGCATACTCATGGATCAGATAATGAGCAAGGTACTTATTCTCAGCGATTTTCTCATGGTTACAGGAAAGTCAACCACAAAGTATAAACATTAGGCCTGAATCCAGATTTCTTATCTCTTAAGAAATTTTAACACATGAGAACTCTTTTCTTCTTGTACAAGCTGATTAATCTTATAAGAGGTGACAGCAAGAGAGAGCCAGTTGTAAACCTCGTATATATAATACATGTATACATATGTACATATATTAATATATGTAGTCCTATTTCAAGTGTTGTGAAAAATAACACTTGGGTTTGGTCCTTGCATGTTTATTGTCATCTGTTGCTCATAAAGATACAAGATAGATTAATTTGATCATTTATTTTAACCAGAAAGAAGACTAAGAACCACAAATAAGAACTATATTCATCCTTTTTATTCCATCTAGAATTTTTGCTACTTACTGGCTGTCCAGGCTCACCAACTCCAATTGGTCCCGGAGCACCTAGTCTTCCTTCTTGGCCTCTCTCTCCCTAAGAGAAAGAAATAATAGAACGAAAGTTTGACTTTTCAAATAATTAATAAACATAGCACAAAATACTCTGGAGATTTCAAAAGAATAAATAGCACAATAGTCAAACTTTTCATATTCATAAAGATTTTTAAAATTCTAAAGGAGGAGAAATGGCTTAAATTTAGGTGCATTTAAGTGAGCAAATTACCCTAAAATGTTCACCATCTCTTCTTGTCTAAATGCAATACAGCACTCTCAGCTTTTACGTACTATTGTGTAGGAATTAGCAAGACAGACTGGGCAACAATTCATTTTGCTAACTGAGATGACCAAGCCAACAGTGCATGTACCATACCCTGCCCCCTTGCCACCATCCTAGAATGTCGCCCATTCCTTGTCCACGCTCTGTCCTATTTCACCTCCTCTAAGCCCTGTTTTATACGTGATCTCCTTCAGAACCCTTCTGCAATAACTCTGCCCATAAAAACTCCACCTTCCCTGTCGTCTCAATGTGCTTATTTTTGAAATGCTATACATGATGACACTTGATTACATTTAAAATACATTGTTTTGTATTGCTCTCTATTTTAGTCCTGCATCAAAGTCTCACTGTCTCAGCCACATAGAAAAGCCATTCAAGATGAGCACTTATGCTCTGTTATAGCCTGCATGATGCAGAGCACTTCAGGATGGATGTTCTATCTTTTCTAGTACTCTAAAACCTCTGTCAATATTTACTTTTTCTGTACCATGGTCCTTCTGGTTTCTGCCCCTCTATGCTTATTTAGTGTGAGTGGTGATAATTGATATGTTAAGGTGTTTCACTTCCAAATAACATATTTGCACGTGAATGTTTAAAGTTCATGAAAGTCCAAGAAAACTTAACAGAATTACATGTACTTTGGTGAGAGGGTGGGTATTTGGAGATAAGCAAATTTTTCATTGCAATCAAATCAAAAAATTCATTGATTATTCTTGTGGTAAGTCCCACTGATGAGGGCATTGTAGTGTTCAAGCACACAATATAAGTAACTTCTGTGGGAAGCCTCCTTGTATCTATTAGGATTAGGCTGAACAGAGTTCAAATCACAGCTACCCCATCCCCTACAATAAATTCAGCAGTTACTAATGAGCAAAGAGACAAACATCTTTACCTTAATGCCTTGCTGTCCAATCCCAGGAGCTCCCGGAGGACCATAAGGACCAGGAGGACCTGGCTCACCCTAGAGGAAGAAACAGTGACGTTAGGTCAACTCAATAGTGCTTATCGAGCAGCTCTTAGATGTATAGTGTTGCAACAGGGGCTTTGAGGGCAAGAACAAAACAAAAATAGTCCCTGCCCTCAATTGTTTACAGTCCGTTTGGAACAACAACACAGACCCAGGGCAAATTATTCACTAGGCACAGTTATGACAAGATCTAGGGCCACAATACTTTTAAGAGCACACAAAAATGTTTCAATTTTAATTTTTTAATTAGATTTTTAAAATAAACATAATAATAATGGTGATATAACAATGAATCCAGCCTGGACTATATTTGCCTTTACATCAACTCAGTCATAAAATTTGATTTTTAATATTTTTTATGGAAGAAGGGTCCCACGAAGGCAAAAGTTTTCAGGACCCATAAAAGTCACAGTGCAGCCCTCACTCATTCATTCACAAATCTTTATTAAGTGCTCTGGCACACACATTTTGTTTACCACCCAAGGGCTATTCGCGCCCCCCCCCCCCTTCCTTCCCTGCCGACAGAACTCTGCTCTATTCAGGTCAGTGGCAGCTGCTCTATGCTCGCAGAGCTGTGGGATGAACGATAATTGGTCTTATGCAAGGTTAGAGCCTCCTTTCCCTTTGTCACTGATTGGTCCAGGTTGGTCATGTGGCTCAATTCTGACCAATGAAATGTGAGGGACCTTACTGGATACCAAGAAGAAACTTTTTTGCCTCTGCTTTGTCTTTCCTACCTCCAGATGTGATAATTATAACTATGAGTCAGCACTCGCTAGGGCAAAAGCCAACAGTTGAGGACAACACAGAAAAAAATGAAAAGAGCCTGGCTCCTGGATAACCTCACTGAGATACTGATCCAGTCCTGTTCTACCTACCTTTGAGCATTTTGTTTAGTCAATAGCAGGAGTTCTTAGGATTTAAACCACTATTAGTCAAGATTTCTGTTATTAAAAGCCAGAACAGCCTACTGTGTGGCAGGCTCATAACAGAAGTCGGGCTTTTTAGAACTGGATGAGACCATCGCACTCAAACCCCTACATTTCCCAGGTGAGGAACCTGAGTTCCAGAGAGGTTACCTGGCCTGCCCAAACTCACACCTCAAAATCACTCACACAGATACAGCTCCACAGTTCTCTCAGGCTTCTGGCCCCGTGGCCTGTTGCTAGGGGAAAGGAGAGTGGATACTGATTCTAGGTGCTTTTTCTGTAACACCGATTTTTTCCGTTCATCAAAATAATGTATCTTCATTACAGAAAAATTATATTAAAAAGTATACATACAAAAGAAATTTTAAATTACCTATCTATGACTACTATTAATTTTTGATGTTTTTGCTTCCAGCATTTTTATATTCACACATGTACCTTTAATTTATGCTAAGGAAGATTTCTGAATACTCACGTTTGAGTTAATGAATACTTGTGTTTAAAACTTCATTCAACTTAAAGATTTCCCTCTTCAAGCTTACACTAACCAACAGTAAAATCAAACAGTAAATTGAGACAAGCCTTCTCTCAGAGTAAAGGAAATGAAGAAATTGCCACTCGGGTTAAAGTCTCAAGTTGCTCCAAAGGCTTGTGATTTTGAAGGGGACATGTAGAAACCAGAGCAATGTTCTGTTGATATGGTAGAGGCATTGCTTTAAGGAAGCCTGTGGACTTTGACCAATTGCAATAGGGAAAGAGAAGAAGGGTCAGAGTCAAACCAGCTCCCCAAAAGATATGCCCAGGCTCAAGATGAATTAAAACAAAGGAAACCTGTTTCAAAATTACTTGTCAGAGTTTATGACTCTTTGGCATTTAAGTGGATTGAATTCAAAAGTACCTACCATTCATCCTGTTGAATACAAGTCAATCTGACACCTAAATCAACTTGAAGTTTTTCTTTTAAAATTCTAGGGTTGTACTTATTTTTCTATACAGAGTGAATTTTCTGGAGCAGCCAGGTAACTACATTCTTATTTTACATGCTCTTTGTTGTGGAATTTCTCTCTATAACATTAGACATAAAAGTTCTCACTAAATTTGAAGTTGTTTTCTTAATCTTAAAGCTTAATTAAGTGCTAGAGAATATTTAGCTTCCTAGAGATTCCAAATTTACACTTCAAAAAGCCTTTTTCTTACAACTTCTTGTACTCTCAAGTCGGAATCTCCTTGTCAGTTATACAAGTCACATATGGATGAACTTTTCTATCACTCAGCAAATGACACCAGGTACTTGCTCTGTGGAGGGCCATGAAGTAAATAGGGGGAAGTTTAAGATATAGCCCTAAACCTAAGGGACTAGTGTAAGAGATAAAACGCACCATTAAAAAATGTAATAATAATAAGGACTTGAGTTCACTTATTCTATTTATTTTCTGTCCCTGTTTTATGTAGCTTTGGTTCTGTAATGTATCAGAAGACATTTAAATTATATATTTGGTAGAGAATTTGAGGGTGGGTTTGTTTGTTTGTTTTTTAAGCAGTGAAAGCTCTACCCTATGTAGTATTTGTCTGATATTTGATCAGAAACAAACCAAGGCCAGGCATGGTGGCTCATGCCTGTAATGCCAACACTTTAGAAGGACAAGCAAGGAGGATCCCTTGAGGCTAGGAGTTTGAGGTTGCAGTGAGCTATGATCATGATCGTGTCACTGCACTCCAGCCTGGGTGACAGAGCAAGACCCTGTCTTGAAGGAAAGGAAGGAAGGGAGGGAGGAAGGGAGGTGGGGAGGGAGGGAGAAGAAAAAGAAAGAAAGGAAGGAAGGAAGGAAGGAAGGAAGGGAGGGAGGGAGGGAGGGAGGAAGGAAGGGACCAAGAGCACAGGTTGATAACAAGGAATTGGTTGGGTTCTTACCTTGAAATGTGTGAACCAGGAGAATCAAGAGGAGCAGCAACAATCTCATCCTTGGGCCCATGAGCTCTCTTTAGCCTTGGCCAAGTACCAATAGCAACTGAGAAATTTCTTAATATTGCTTTTTCAAGGGAATTATAGGAATCTGAAGATTTCAGGGGGATTGCTTTTCTTTATCTGAACATACCCCTTTGCTACATGTGTTCATATTTCCCTTGTTTAAATTTATTTCTCAGGAGCCTGGCATCTCAATATAGGGTCCACAGACCAGTATTGACCTACAGCTACTGTTTATCCCCTGTGTATTTCCCCTTTCCCTTTCCTACAAAGATTCCTGAGGTGTAAAGAAAGTGGTAGTGATCCTGATTGTAAAACGGGCTATCTGGGTAAGACAGAACAGGGAGAGAAGAGTCAACGCTCTAGTCAGAATGATTTGCTGGAAATTTGCCAAGACAATATAGCTCTGTTAAGACTCCAGGCTTGATTCCTTTCCTATTAATATTTGTGCCCCAACCCTGACCAACATACACACACACACACACACACACACACACACACACATACACACATACACAGATTACATGCCCTCAGTACTACTAATTATTTCTCTGCTTTACTTTTGTTAGCCATCAGAGCCATTTACCAACAGGTGAGTAAAACAAAGAGGACTGGGTTAAAATGGATAGCCTAGAAGACATCTGTTTCTCATGACCTCCAAGTGAGTGTCAGCAAGGAGGCTGGGTGGACCACCTTGGTCCTCCTCAGAAACCAAGAACACCCATGCTATGGGCCTCAAGAGCAAAGAAAGCCTATGTTTAATAAAACCTATTGTTTATAAGCACTGCCCTGACACTTTATATATATTATCTCATTTAACATAACAATCCCAGGAAATAGGTTTTTTTTTTTTTCCATTTTATGCTGCAGAAATATAATCTCCATTTTTAATCCAATTTTCAGCAAGCATGGAATCACAAGGGAAAAAACATGGCTTGGGAGTCATTCAGTGTAGTGGAATCCTGGCTCTATTGTTTACTAACGACTTGAGCTTTTGCAAGATCCCCATATGCAAAATGAGGATAATTATATCTGCCCTGCAGCATTGTTGAGAGGATTCAAGATATTCTCTGTAAAACGTCTAAGTCATAACCAGTCACACAGTAGCTGTTTAACATGTATAGATTCAATTGTTATTCACCAGACCTTGACTGAGCACCAACTAGGTGATACTAGGTGAATAACAATTTATGCTCTAATTGAGTACCAGGTTACATAATTAGACACATAAATCAGATTGCACCTGCACTTTGCAGAAGTTTACAATCTGGCGAGAGAGACAAATGAATATGAAACAAAATACAAGCATGTGAATTAGCTATAATAAAGACATTAACAGAGTACACAAGACTCTGAGGCAGAAATGTTTAATTCTGCCTTAAGGAATCGAGAAAGTTTCATATAGCAGAGGAGATGGTTAATCTGAACAAAGAAGTAGGAAATATAGCTAATCTTATGGGAAAGAAAGGGGACAAAAGTTCAGGAAGAGTAAAGAGTAGGAGGCATAAAATGATGTGAAATGTCCTAGAGAAAGTGAGCAGCCCTGTGGGCCCAGGCGCCAGAAATGGGGTGACAACAAGGTCACTGTCTGGGGCAGTACTACCCAATGGAAATGTACAGAGAGCCACATAAGTGTTTTAAATTTCCTAGTGGCCACATTCTTACTATTTTTTAATACTAAGTCTTTGAAATCTGATGTGTATCTTACGCTTACAGCACATCTCGATCTGGACTGGCCACAGTTCAAGTGCTCAGTAGCCACATGCAGCTGCTGCACTGGGCAGCGCAGGTTTGGAGTGGAAGCTCAGGTCAGAACCGTGAACTGTACCTACATTTAAGTAGGGTGGGAGTGGAAGAATACAACGATGTCTTGTGCAGAGTTGGGGAAAAAGAGAATTTCAAAAAGGGCTCATCATTTCCAAAGAAAAATTCATAATCTTTTAGTCTTAGACCTGGTCATCTTCCAGTGTTCTCTATCTCAGGGAAGAGCACCAAAATCCCTTCTGTACCACACCAGAACCTAGGGGTCATTCTTGACACATCCGACTCACTCTTCCACCATATGCAATGATCCCCAACACCTGTAAATATGCCTCCCA